CAATGGAATCAAAAATGGCCTTTTTTTAAAATTCCAAATGCTAGCAAAGCAAAATATATCTCTAGATTGTGAAAAGCTACACTCTTTCTATCTAATAATAATAATCTTATTACATAGTCTTTTACAACACAAAAGGTACCAACAATATGTACTCGTAGCTTCCGGCTCTTAAATCGTCACCCCATCCCATCCATCCGGTGTTCAGACCACGCGTCAATTTCCAACCACGAGAGTGAAAATTTGAGTTATGTTTTTATTAAATATAAGTTTTTGTGTTATCGGTACGTAGACGAACATATTTAAGGTAACTGATTTTTTTAAACCTACGGATTAATATTTAAAGAAAAATTTAAATAAGGTAATTCAAGAGAACTATTGCTTAAAAATATAAAAGAATATACTTAGTAGTATTTGTATTTTATTATCAAAAGTTGTATATTTAACTAATACATGTATTACATATTATATAAAAAAACGCTTTGTATGACAAAATAGCAATAGCATATATAACAAATCACTTTATTATTATACAGACCAATTAATTTATTATTAGACAAACAAATACAAATTTATCCCACGGGAACCGTACATTTTTCCGGGATACAAAGTAGCCTATTTGTTATTCTGATGTATGAGCTATATTATTGTAAAGTATCAGTGGTCTTTGTGTAAGCTGTATAAGTTACATACTATAGCTTTCTAACTATCTCACGGAAACTCTTTAATTTTCCGGGATGAAGAGTAGGTATCTAAAATGTTGACTGGGGATATAAGGTACCGTCATACAAAATTTCATTTAAATCGGTCCCAGAGTTTCTGGGATTAGCCCGTACAAACAGACAAACAGACAGAGAAAAAAATTTAAAAAAAACTGGATTTGTTCTATTTCTCTTCTTACATCCCCCTGACTCGGTTTTTAGCATTTTTTTCTATGTACAGACATTCGACCTCTACAGTTTTATTATAGTATAGATGTTTTAAGTGCACTTTTCTTGATTCATGCCGACAAATTTAAAAAAAAACTGATTAAAATTCAAATAAATGTGTCTAAATCATCATATATATACTAATCTAACTATTTAAACCGGCTTCAGCTGGATCAGAATTCTTGGTAAAGATCGAAAACGCATAAAGGTGCATGTGTTCTAAAACAACAGAACTTTCCCTGTTGCCTATTATTTTTGAATTTGAAATTTATTTTGTTGGACTCCGTCAGTAGTAGATACCTAGTAGGTATATCTTAAACAATTAACCCCAAAATCTGTTGTTTTCACTCACTTTATCTTTGCCACGACTATTAACTAAATAATGATCCGGTTTTTGCCCGCCATTAGCCGGTTCGCGCCATTTCGCGACAAAATGGCCGCGGGAAATGACCTGTGAACTGATAACTGGAGGGAAGAGGTTTTATTATACGATGTATATTTTTTTTATTTTCTTATATATTACAAAATGATCACATTTGCACTTATGGACCCTCCAGTATATCCGTAAAAGTGGTTTGCATATTTGGATTTAAAAGTTATTATTTTTTTTTTCAACAGTAAATGTCTAACTTACACATAAACTTGTAGGTATTTCCTCGGTAGACGAAATCCGACTACAATCTTTATTGAAAATTCGAGGAAAACGAATCGAGTGAATCGAATTTATCTATCTTTTGTATTGATAAAATCTCGTCAATATCTACAAAAAACACAGTTATCAAACAGAGGAGAAAAAGATACTGAACCGTACTAAACCGTACCTAACCTTTGCCTATTTATCTATACATTTATACAAATAAATAAAATTGTAGTTTCTGTTTGTAATGCCAATGAATATGAAATTACATACGCTACCTATAATAAAAACACAGCTTTTAAAAAAAATCTCTGTCTTTCTGTTTGTCTGTTTGTTCCGGTTAATCTCCGAAACGGCTGCACTAATTTTGACGGGACTTTCACTGGCAAATAGCTGATGTTATAAGGAGTAACTTAGGCTACTTTTATTTTAGAAAAATAATTAGGGTTGCGCTCATTTAAACGTACCTCGCTAGTATATAGATATAATAGTTATAAAGTCTTATTTGAAACTAGCGACTTACTTGTGTCCCTTGGTACCTAACATGTACTACAAACCAAAGTGTTACGGTCATTCAATCATTCAATTTAAGGAAAACTTCATCAAAACCCGTCCAGCCGCCACACATAGGTACAAACTTTTACGTTTACTAAAGTAGGTAGTGTGAGAGTTAATTTTAGGCAATTAAGTATAAAATAAATAAATAATAAAAATCTTTATTGGAACAAACTGATAAATTAGACTATAAATTGTAGGTACATTGCTGATTATAGGAACTACGTTATTTCAAAACTGTGTTGTAGTCAATAACGACCACCTCCAAGTTTTTTTTTAAATATTAATTTAATGCTATTTTCAATAGCTTAAAAAGAATATATGTTGGGACATTAACACACAGCACCATCTAGTTCCATGGTAAGCTACGAGGCTTGTGTTATGGATACCAGGTAGTTGATACACTACACATATATAACTTTAAATACATGCATATTATAAATATAAACACTCCGACTGGAGTACAAACATTCGTGCTCATCACACAAATGAATGCCCCCAGCGGGACTCGAACCCGAGACCGTTGGCACAGCAAGTAGGGTCACTACAAACTGAGCCCAAATTCGTCAAAAAAAATATATTAAATTATAAATCGCTTCGCCTTACAGCATAAACGCTACCCTACAAAAGCCGTATGACGAGAGATTCACTGGTTTTCTATTTCACTTATCAGTCGGGTTAAATGGTTTGTTGGTTATGTTGCTGGTCATTTCTAGCTTAAGTGTAATTAAATCTTCACGTATCTGAAAATGGGGTTAGATTAAGATATTAAAAAAAATGTGTGTGTGTACTTATGTATGTAGGTACGCACGTAAGGTACTTCTTTGGCGTAACAGAACAAAAATAGCTAAAGATTTCATCCCGTATGTCAATACTCTCTGTTTGTAAAAAAAACTTCATCATGTCGCTTTTTGGCTGTCGGTGTGCGCGCACCATAAAAATTTACTTTCATGTTTTTTTCCAAACGTGCCAAAAGAAATATAACTTCAAAATTAAAATATATATTATTTAAACAGCACCTATAACATGAATTTTTATTAGGTAGGTACGTGGAAAACAAAAACGTAATTATTCCACTGGCCATCCTTAGTCGTGGAATATTTGCTTAAAATTTATATAAGAACTAGCATGGCCCGCGGCTCCGCCTGCGTTCAGATGACCAAAAACCAAATTCTTAGGTTTTACATATTAGTATACTCTTACACAATGACTCTTACACAAATGAGATATTTTTCCGCGGTAAAAAGTATCCTATATGTAGACCCGGACCAGCTATCATCATACAAAATTTCATCAAAATCCTTCGAGTGGTTTTTCCGTGATGCGGTAATACAGACAGACAAACAAAAACTCTAAAACCATAGATTCGGCCTCTGTATCGATAATAATGTCTATTTCAATAAGATTTTCCCAAAAATATCTAATGTACAGATTCGGCTTAGTTACAATTTTGTTATATGTATAGATTATAAAAATCAGTTCCTCTTTATTTGAAATTGGTTAAAATAGTTTGTCATAATACACTAATTTGGGGTTAGTGTAATTTTATATTATAAATGCAATTTTTAAAATCGGTTCAGTAATTTTGAAATTTATGCCTTACATATTAATACAGAGTGGATTTTTGAAACGGGACAGTAAGGGCACGTACCTTAACTGCTATAGTTACAGGAAAGCGTTCCTAGGAGATCATCCAAAACTTTTTGAGATATCATGAACTGCATTTACAGATTTTGGAAAAAATGTACAGTTAGCGAAAAAAATGCTAAAATTCCAAAATATTTTTTTTTATGTCAATCGTTTTTTTATGTCAATCGATCCTATTTCATATAGGGATCAAAATACTATGTGAACATTTAAGGTATGAGTACTAGAAATAACAGAAATCGCCAAAAACTTTTCCCATACATTTTGTACGGAAAAACGATTAATTAACTCGAAATATTCTTTATTGCCAAACGGCCCTATTTCTTAATGTGAGGCCAAATAGAGTTTGAGTACAGAAACTACGGTAAGTCACAAAACCGGGCTTATACGCAGACATTATAAGCAGCGGGCGTAAAATAAATTTGTTAGTGTTTTTTTAAAAGCCGGTTTCGTGGCATCCTGTACCTAGAAGCAAAAGTAGGATTTCGGATATTTTTGCAAATTTATTTTGATTTTTGGTTCCCGACGTTCGAATGTTTTACAGCAATCATGGTCACGGGAGAGTGTCTACCGTTAAAAATATAAATAATAAATATAAACTAAGAAATAACATTGATAAAGTGACGAAGTACGGTGTATGTAACATTCTTTGACAGATTAATATAAAATATTACAACATTAATTATTCTAATTAATTTAATGAACATTTCCTCTTTCATATGAATACAATTTTATGTTGGTTAAAAAATCGTCGAAAAAAACTAACGCTCATACAAAGCGTGTCCACATCACACATGTTCTTAATAATAGAAATAAACAGCAACATTTTGTATTTTATAAAATATCACAAATAAGAAACTCCTCATCATAAAATAGTTCAAAAATCCTTTTTGCATGCAATAAGGTTTTTTACTTAAGCAAAACCAAATAAAAACCATTTTTATTTAGCTTTTATTTTATTTCATTATTGTAAAATGCTACGTGCAAAAACCAAACGCGTACACTATCGGGCTGTCAAATGTCAATGTCATACAATCAGATGTTTTAAATTCTTTATTCTAACCTAAAATTCTGTTAGTAAATATTAAAATAATAATAATAGCTTTTTATGTATCATTTGTAAGACATTTCGTATACTAGTGATTTAAAAATATTGTTAATATTATATTTCATATTATATAATATATAAACAAGCCGTTTTTAATTATTTAACGTATTAAACTAATACAAATAAAATGAGATTACTATCACAAATATTTCAACCGGTCATTACAATACCGAAAGGGGCTAAGATTAAAAACACTGAAATTACTTGTAAAAGCCAAAAGGTAAGCTGGTTTGACCCAATTTAATATATATTTTTTCAATTTAGATTAATTTTAAACTTGAACATATTAGTTTTCACGAATTGTCTTGAATTTCGTATATATTTTATTTAGTATATGGTGTTTGATTATTTATTTTGTTTTATAAACAGTTATTTAAAAAACCTTGTATTGGTCCATAAAAATATATAACTTTTTTGCTTAAAACTTATTAAAAACTAAACGGGTTTGATTTACTTAAAATAAACTGTTCCAGCTTCTTCTAGAATGTGGGCTTGTTCGTCCAACAAGTGCTGGATTCTTCACCATCTTACCCCTTGCAAGACGGGCTGTAACAAAACTTGAAAACATAATTACTACCTGCTTAGACAATATTGGAGCTCAGAAAATAAGTCTTCCATGTTTGACAAGCGCTAAACTATGGAAAGCTAGCGGCAGGTTGGAGGACGTCGGGCCTGAGTTAATTAACATTGAGGATAGACATGGAAAAAACTATATATTAGCACCAGTAAGATTTAATTATTACACTTTTTGATATAGTTAAAAAAATGACCACAAAAAATCAAGAAAACACATATAACATTCTTTTGAAAATTTTAGAATATGCAATACAAAATTAAATGATTGTAATCTATACTAATATTATAAAGAAGTAATGCTTGTGAGTTTGTGACTTGTAGGGGTACTCTGTGGATCTACAGAACCGATTTACATGAAATTTAGTAAGAAGATATTTTGAGACCCTGGGAAGGACATAGGATACTTTTTATCCCGGAAACATCCCTTAAGGGGGTGAAAACGGGGATGAAAGTTTGTGTGGAAAATCCTATATTGTACTAGCGACTCACCCCCACCTCGCTCGGGTTCGTCCCTAGTACAATATATGTGATTACCAGTTTTCTATTGGTTATTCTATATGCCTGTCCAAATAATTACTCAAAATTCAAACTTTTTTCATATAAAATTCAAAGAATATAAAAAAAAATCAATTCAATTTTCTTATAAATGGCTTCAAAGCATAGTATTTAAACTCAGATTACTTTACCAATGTCATGTAAAATGAAGAAGACACAAAGGAGATTGGTGTGTAAAATAAGATTATTGTTCTAAATTAAATTTTAATATGTAAAATGTAATTATAATATGTCTGGAGAGATCAAGAAAAAATTGTTAAGAAAGTATGTAGCGGGGAGGGTAACAATAAATCCACATGACAATAGAACACTTTAATTCCGACATCCTGTTCTAATGATGGAACCAGAAAGTGGGTGGAATCTCTTAAATGGCCACTAGAGAAATCATTCATTTTAAGCTTATTTGATTTACTTTAACAAGTACCATACAATATAGTAGGTAGGTTGAGAAGTATTACATTTGTACAGATAAAATGTAAAAATAACAGCTTTTTACTAAATTCATAATATGAACATATAAACAATACTTATATGAAAAAAAAAATGAAAATTTTTTGTCTGCCTGTCTGTTTGTTCTGGCTAATCTCCAAAATGGCTAGATAGATTTCGTCGAGACTCACTGGCACATAGCTGATATTATAAGGAGGCTATATATTACTTTGGCTATCTTTATTTTTTAAAACCAAAATTTTTAAATTAAAAAAAAAATTGTGAACAAAATTCATGTTATAGGGATGCACCCGAGCGAAGCAAGGGTAAGTCGCTAGTTATCAAATTATAATTGGTTTATTCCAGACACATGAAGAAGCGATTGCTGATCTGCTGGCTGATCTTGGTTCACTAACGTATAAACAGCTACCATTTATACTATACCAGGTAAAATCCATAAGCTTGAATTAATGATAATATTTATTATTAGACTTACATTATCCTTCTTATAGTATTCAGCCCTTTCTAACATCCCACTGCTGGGGTAGGGCCTCCCTTCCATGCAAGGGGGTCGGGCCATAGTCCACCACACTGGCCAAGTGTGAGTTGGCGGACTTTGCATGTCTTTCGAGGCTAGGCTAGGTTCTTTTAGGCATTTCACCTTGTCGTGGTGGGCAGGGCTCAGTAGTGCCCGGCAATCCAGGCGGGCGCGTAGCCAAACAACACTGGAAAGTGGCCCACCTCGGTGAGTGGTGTGCTATGTGGATAGCTCCTGGTACTTCTCTGATAGCAGAGTGGACTGTGGAGCAACCCCATGGTTGTTGTGGTCTGCTTCGCCAGACCTGCCGTCGGGGCGTCGTAGTTGAATGCGTAAGCGATCCTGCGACGCCCCATTAAGACGGGGGAAGGTTTTGTTGGGTTTTAGTGGGTAGTACTGGCTTTTCGAGCGAAAAAGGAGCGCGTGACCACTGGGCTTCTTATAGTAAATTCTACATTTTTTATATTATTTTATCTACACAAAAATATTGTTAACCATGACCTTCATTTTTTTATTTTTAATCATAATCTTATTTTTTATAATTTATAATAAAGTTGCTAATTCATTTTTTTAATATTTTCTAGACTGGCAACAAGTACCGCGACGAACACAGACCAAAGCACGGACTTTTACGTGCGAGAGAATTTAATATGTTAGATTCATACAGCATCCATGCTTCCAACTCTTGCGCAGCTCAAACTTATGACGTTGTTACACAGGCTTATAACAAAATATTTAGGATTATAGATTTACCTGTGAGTCGGGGTAAGTTTGAATGAGATTTACGCGAATATTTGACATTTTAAATAAAATAAAAATATCCGGGTTTTTTTTTAATTTATCACGCAAAATTTTGTCTTTTTGCTCTATAACCTATGTTTTATTATTCTGACCTCTATATAATATCGTCACAATAGCGAGATAATACATTTTTAATAAAATAATTATAATATAAATTAAAAATTTAACCCTACGCAAATTTATTGTCATTTAACGATTACACTGGCACGCGTGAAGCACTTAATCGAGTAATCATACGCCAAAATGCCTTACATCATTTTGGAAAAGAGCTGATACTCTTACACTGCTGGACCGATATTAACCAAACATAGCTAAGAACCACCGCAAGGAAACTGGCTTTCAAATAAAAAAAACCGCATCGAAATCGGTCCATCCGTTTGAGAGCTACGACGCTACAGACAGACACACACACAGACAGACATCGACGTCAAACTTATAGCACCCCTCTTTTTGGGTCGGGAGTAAACAATGAGTTATGAGCCTTATTCTTAATAATTTGTTTTTTTATGCTACCAGTTTCCACGTTTCGTTAGGGTTCGCTCCTAAAAGTAAATACTAACAAATCCAGGTAAATTTCTAAGAAATCTATTGTTAACTGTAACGCCGGCGTGTCCGCGGTCGTGGAGGCATTAATATACCATTACATTACATTATTACCAGTCATTTAGCAAAATATTCATAAATTATAGTCTACATCCATCCTACATAATCCCATGTTCTACTGATGAAAGTGGTATGAAAATACCGTACAGTAGTTCCTGAGATTAATGTGAGTGAACAAACACAAACTCAACGTTAATTTATAATATGTACTTAGTGATATTTTTGAAGTTTTACTTCTTTTGGCATGATTGGAAAAATATCAGAGTAAAATTTTTACGATGCGCGTGCACACCGACAGCCAAAAAGCGACATGATGAAGTTAGCTGCATTCCTTTTACAAACAGAGAGTTGTGTCATACGGGATGAAATCTTTAGCTATTTTTGTTCTGTTACGCCAAAGAAGTATAACTTCTTACGTACGTACATAAGTACACACACACGTTTTTATTATTATATTATGTTTTCTAGTGAAAGCCCCGTCAGGGAATATGGGTGGTAGTCTGTCCCATGAATGGCAGTTGCCGGCCCCCGCTGGTGAGGATAGTATATCTGTCTGTACGGCTTGTTCTCATACAACCCTAGAAGGAGACGCTTGCGAAAAATGTGGAGGGAAAGTGGAAAAAATTAATAGTATTGAGGTAAGATGTCCCATTTCACCATTTACGCAAATATTATCAAGAATTTATGTGTTTTTTTTTGTACTGAGAAATTGTATTTTTTATATAATAATGGGAATATTTAATAACATTTTGTTTGTTGATCATAAAAAAAAATGAAATACCAATGAAAAATATTCAAAAGTGCAGGTAATCAATCCAGTTGGATCTTTTTATATGTGTAATATGATGTCTTCACCAGTTTTGAATCGTTTTTCATGATTATTTCTTTAACAAAACACGTATTGTTCTAAGGATAAATGAACAATAATACGTATATATTTTGTTCGTTTGTAATATTGTTTTAACGCGCTAATCTCAGGAACTACTAATCTGATTTGAAAAAAAAAACATTTTTCATTAGATTTTATTGAGGAAGGCTATAGTATAGACTATTATATCATATAACATATAGTCTACCTATTCAATTCTAACCGTTAAAACGTACCTAGGGACAAGCCCGAACGGTGTAGTGGCTAGCATGTACAGCTGCACACTCAGAGGTCCTGGGTTCGAGTCCCGGGTCGGGCCAAGTTTAGTTATTGAGTCGTTCTGTATAGTAAGCCTCAGTAACAGCCCGGAGTTGGGAAGTTGGCGGTGTTTCACCCCCGTGCCTCGGAGAGCACGTAAACCCGTCGGTCCTGCGCCTTAACTCTCACTGGTCGTGTCTCGCGTCGTCCCACCGGAGTATGAGAGTGACAGGAATAGAGAGTGCACGTTGTGTCTGCGCGTACACTTGAGCACTATAATATCTCCTGCGCAGTTGGCTAGTCTCAATGAGATTGGCCGCCGTGGCCGGAATCGGTCAGGAGAACATCATCATATCGCAATAAATGAAATTTATTGAAATTACAAATATACTTAATTATATATACAGAACAAATGTACACTTAATTATTACTGTACAAGTCATGTCCACGTGGTATAGTGGTAAGAATGCTAGCCGCTTCGACTCCATGGGGCCAAGTGTTTCTACAGCATTTTTGTGATCATTTTGATTTTTTCAAATGAAAACTTCCATAGGCAGGTTTGTATGGGGAGTAGATTCATGTAAGTCGTCATCGACGTGGTCACGTGACGTGTTAACGCTAACACTCAGAGTGCCGATAGATGTCGAAACCAGATAAATGTAAACAGTTTTAATTTACACATTTTAATTTATTTAATCAAAAATAACTAAATATAGTTTTAAGTTTTCACTTCTATCGGCAGTCCTCATAACTGATTTTTTTTTAAAATTCTGTATACTTTGTGTTTCTATTTGTTATTGCAGGTAGGCCATACTTTTATATTAGGCACAAAATACAGCGAGCCGCTAAAAGCTAACTTCGTTGCCCCGGACTCGTCCGGGCCAGTACATATGGGGTGTTATGGGATTGGAATAACTAGGTATAATATTATTATTCAGACTAGCATTGCCCGCGGCTCCGCCCGCGTTCAGGTGACCAAAAACTAAATTTTTAGGTTTTACATATTTGCATACTCTTACATTGCAGTTTTTGTATTTTTTCTCAGAAATCAGATATTTTCCCTCGGTAAAAAGTATCTGTTGACCCGGATTACCAGCTATATATATATATATATATATATATATATATATATATATATATATATATATATATATATATCAAAAGAAAGAATAAATAATTAATTTTGTCACAGATTACTAGCAGCCAGTATAGAAGCCTTATCAAGTGATACGTGTATTCGATGGCCGAAAGCCATAGCGCCCTACTCAGCCATTATTATAGGACCAAAGGTACAATGTAAGAACGACATAATTCAAAAGTTTAAAATACATTTTTTTTTTGTTTTATAAATATGATATAGATATAAGTTTATAAATATAATTCAAAAAATTGTTATTTGTAATATTAAACCAAAACACTTTTATATTTATATATAGGACCAACGGTACAATGTTAAAACAGCATAAGTCAGAAAATTTAAATTAAATAATTATTATTGTTATTATAATATTGATTTTTATTTATATTTTTATTTATCCTGTTTTAGTTTATTATGTTTTGGTCATATCAGTAGTGTCGTTTTTGATGTAAAATATTACTGTCCATTTTTAACATTCGCAGGAGGGTTCCAAGGAGTGGTCTGGGCATGACTTCTCAAAAGTGCAATCTATAGCGGAAACGCTGGAACAAAATGGATTGAAGGACGACGTTCTAATAGATGATCGACACGGACTTACTATTGGGAAAAGAATGATGTTAGCTGGCAGGTAAGATGGGCGATAACATATCTATTTAGATTTAATACAAAAATCTCCTCACAATGGTGAAATAATATGGCAATAAATCTATACATATAATAAAAATGTAAATGATCGCTGTCTGTACATGGAAGATATTTGACAAAAAGTATTATTGGGGGTATCTATTAACGTAATAACCCAAAAAAAATATATTTTAGATTTTTTGTCTGTTTGTTACTCACACTGATGATTGCTGTAAAGCATTCGAAACGTCGCGTCGGAAAACAAAAATACAAAAAAATACGCGAAATAATCCGAAAAGATAGTTTTATTTAAAATGGCAAATTATTCACGTAATTTAAGAACGTATTGTAAATTCAAATTGATATTTTTTAAGGAATGTACCTATTTTAACCCCCGACCCAAAAAGAGGGGTGTTATAAGTTTGAAGTCGATGTCTGTCTGTGCGTGTGTGTCTGTCTGTCTGTGGCATCGTAGATCCCAAACGGATGTACCAATTTCGATGCGGTTCTTTTCATTTAAAAACCCGTTTTCTTGCGGCGATTCTTAGCTATATTTGCTTAACATCGATCTAGCAGTGTAAGAGTATCAGCTCTTTTCCAAAATGATGTAAGGCATTTTGGCGTATGATTACTCGATTAAGTGCTTCACTCGTGCCAGTGTAATCGATAAATGACAATTAATTTGCGTAGGTTTTTTTTTTAATTTTTAATTTTAGTAAAAACTAAAAAAAGAATCCATTTTCTTATTCAAACTTACTTATAATTGTCGTTTCAGAATGGGATACCCTTACATTATAGTGTGTGGAAAATCTACCCTACAGACACCCCCTCGATATGAAGTACACGGCGGTGGACCACCACGTATGGTCACCATAAACGAACTTCTAACTATTATAAATACAGATAAAATGAAGAAAATTAATGTAGAGTATACTGAAAATGTGTGATAAATGTTTAAAAGAGATATTTGTTTTATTACCCGACTGCGAACTCTCAAAGGGTTACGTGTTTGACCTGTATGTATGTATGTCTGACCCAATATTTCCTCGTAACTGCTAAACGGTGGGTGGATTTTGATGAATTACACGTTTTTGAATTCATTCTGAGAACGTTTGTGTAAGGGTGAATATTAAGTCTATGACACGTTAAAAATAAAATAAAAATTAATTTAAATATTTAAAAGTAGCACATCTATACAGATAAATAAAATTGTTAATAAAAAATTTTTTACCCGACTGCCAAAGAAGGGTTATGTTTTTCGCATAAATCTTGTATGTAGGTATATGTATATGTCTGTAAATTTCTTTATTACCTCGTATGTTCCAAACGGCTGGAATTGTGACAATTAGGCATCGATAGATTCGTCTTAAAAACCCAAGTGTCCTCAGATAGGTGTTTTAAAAAAACAATGGCGGATCCTAGGCGCCATTTGTGTGAAAATCCGCACCCGCCGCTCAAAAAAATTAAAACGTACCTAGGAGCACACCCGAGCGAAGCAATGGTAAGTTGCTAGTGTATTATTGTATACTAGTGGTATTATTATATAGTGTACAAGCGATTCACCCTCGCTCCGCTCGAGTTCGTCCCTAATTACGTTTTAGCGTTTAGTATAGACTTCTCAGAAATGAGATATTTTTCCGCAATAAAAAGTATTCTTATGTTGACCCGGATAACCAGCTATCACCTTACCAAATTACATAAAAATCCCTCCAGTGGTTTTTTTGTGATGCGGTAACAGACAGACAAAAATTCTAAAAACTATACATTCGGCCTCTGTATCGATAATAATGTCTATTTCAGATTCTATGTATAGATTCATACAATTTTCAAATAAATAACAAATCAAATGCCTTTTTTTCTACCTTCCCTACAAAACCATAGAAGTTTGGACAAAAATCTAATAATAAGATTTTTATTTCTTTGAATTCACTGCTCTATTGTCGTCAAACTTAAAGTGACCCTCATAAACTTGTGCGCTACTTAAAGAGTATGTGAACGTAATTATAACAACTAGGGATGTGCTTCATATGATTTTTTATCGATGATAAGTTTTTGATATATAATAGAACTAGTAGACCCGCGGCTTCGCTCGCGCTAAAACTACAACAAAACTCGAAAAAAGTAGGTTTCATATAAACGTTCATCCCCTATTTTACTCCCTTATGGGATGAATTTAGAAAAATGTTAAAACACGTATTTATTTAATTGTATTGAAGAGTATTAATACCAAGTTTCAAGTAATTTTGATGATAATTTTTTTAAGTTATAAAAATATATTTAAAAAAATTTAAGTAATATTTTTTTATCAAAACCCGTTTAGTTTTAACGAATGTCTTCCAAATCTGTGGAAAGGAGAATAAGGATATAAATTTCTAGGTCAGATTAGAAAGTTGACACTATACTACCACTTTTGTTAACATGACATCTATTCATAATCCATTGACATATGAGCTGATACAGTTATAGTATCTATCTAGAAACTATACACTACATACTAAATTCTTATTTGCGTTTTCCTAATCTATACATATAATATAATAAAATTGTAACTAAGCCGAATCTGTACATTAAATATTTTTTGGAAAATCTTATTGAAATAGACAATATTATCGATACAGAAGCCGAATCTATAGTTTTTAGAATTTTTGTCTGTCTGTCTGTTACCGCATCACGAGAAAACCACTGGAGGGATTTTGATGAAATTTGGTATGATGATAGTTGGTTATCCGGGTAAACTTATAGGGTACTTTTTATTGCGGAAAAATATCTCATTTCTGAGAAATATATACTAAACGTTCAAACGTTAGTAGGGAATAACCCGAGCGGAGCGAGGGTAAGTCGCTAGTCTTTATATATATAATTCTTCTGTGAGTGTGTATGTCACTGAACTTCTCTCAAACGACTGGACCGATTTTGATGAAATTTTTTGTGTGTGTTCAAGGGGATCTGGGAATGGTTTAGATTCACAATTTGAATAATAATTTTCATCAAAAAAATTATTAAAAAAAGTTTGAAATTTTCAAATTAAAGACGTGTAGACAGGACAACGTCTGTCGGGTCCGCTAGTAAATAATATAAACAAATAAATGAAAAAAGTGTAACTTTAATTACTTCCGAAAATCTAAAAAAAGAATTGATTTTTTTTGGTAAACTGCAAATTGTTGTAACTTTAGATACATATTTATAGTTAGTATAGTGTTGAACCACTGCTCTGCACGCATAGAACTCCTACAGATTATGAGTTTGTAGGACATAAAGACAAACATTACTTTTTCCATAATAATATAAAAACTGATGATGTCCTCCTGAATGTTTTCGTCCACGGCAACCAATTTCACTGTGAATAGCCACCGGAAATTTTATTGTGCACAAGTATTCGCACAAACACAAGTGCACTCTCTATTTGTTTACTTTCTCAAAGTCCGAGGGGACGATAATTTGACACGATCCTTGAAAGATCAGCCGCAGGACCAAGGGCTTTACGTGCTCTGCCTCGACATGGAGGTGAAACACCGCCAAATTCCTAATTCCGGGCTGTTATTGAGAATTTTTTGATAGAAAAACTCATTAATTGAACATGGCCCGACCTAGTACTCGAATCTGCAACCTGTAAATATACATGCTACCCACTAGACCACTGACAATGTAAGTATTTAATTATATTATGTATTTAATTTCATTTTCTTGTTAATTCTTCAATAGGGGGGGGGGGGGGGAGATCAGGCCATAATAGTCCACCACGCTGGCCCAGTGCAAGTTGGCTGACTTCACATGTCTTTCGAAAACTTGCTATGTCCTCTCAGACATGCAAGTTTCCTCACGATGTTGTCGTTCACCGTAAGGCTGTCGTTCACCGCAAGGCAAGTGGGAATCATCACACAAATATCGGAGTTGCGAGACCCGGGATTTGAAAGCTTTTTTCGGTGTTCCAAGCGGGCGCGTTACTAGTGCAGTTACCACTGCCTTCATATGTCATATAATTAATAAATAAAATTTATAAATATCTATGCAACATCTCTCATCACTAGTGCAACGCATTATTGCTGTAAGAATAACCACACACTGTAGGATTAAATAAGTGCACATTTCTTTAATTTGAAATGTATAATTACATTAACCAATATTTAGGTTGTGGATGCAAGGATTTATGGAAAATAGTGCCTATTAATTATATGTATAAATATTTGTTTTTTTTTTTTTAATTTTGTGTTTTTTTTTAATTTATCGCTTGATTACTATTATACTGTACTAGTACTGAAAAGTTAGCGGAAAGTGCTTAGACATAAAAAAATTTATGAAAAAAAATATATATCTTTCAAATGGCACCGCTACGAAAATGGTAATAATACTATTTGCGGATTGAATTTTTCTATATATAAAGAACAAACTTCTTTATTATGCGAGTATTTATCTATTCATTTAGACTTTTTTAAATAATTTTTTATTAACTTTAAATTGTAAAACATTAATTAAAATTTAAAATATCTCACGTATCGTGCCACTACTTACTAACAATTTAGAAGGCATTGTGTACGCAATACTAACGAGAGAAACACGCATGCTTGTATATGTACCTACAAGTATACTTGGAGACCGTTTACATTATCTCGTAAAGATTATTAACCTTAAAGTAACAAGTTATTTATGTATCCAAAATATCAGCGCTATCAGACGCGTAAAAAAATACAAGCTCTAATTTATATTATGATTTTGATTGTTATGCTCAAAACATTAAATGCGTGCAACATTAATTCGAACTAGAACTAGAACTAGGTTAATTAGATTTAGTAATGAACTATAAAAAAACTTTAAATAAAACGACTTCCAGGTACTAAAATGTAAAAAATAACTAAACGGGGGTTTTCATGTAGAATAGATAGATACCTAATCTGATGTTTTCGAAGTCGGTGCCAGCCGATGCAAAGCAAATCTAATATATGTATTTCGATATGTAAAATACATATTTAAATATTAAATATTCATATCTTAAAATATTGTCGGCTGGCACCGACTTCGAAGATATTTGATTAGGTATCTATTCTAAATGAAAACCCCCGTTTCATAATTTTTTACATTTTAGTGTCTGGAAGTCGGTTTCTATTTTTTTTTTTATGTTTTTATTTTTCCATTTTTAGTGTAGACGTAATAAGCAGGTAATTTGTAAGAAGAACGTTTTTTGATAACATATTCGATTAAGTACCTATTTTATTTAAGAAAATAATTTATTCTTGACTTTTTTAAAAACCGCTCGACCGATTTCGATAAAATTTATGTGGGACCACCTGAAAAGTATACCCTTTGAAACAAAAAAAAATCCAAATCGGTTCAGGCGTCTTCAAGTAATCGGTGAACATATATAAAAAAGATTCCGATGAATTGAGAACCTCTTCCTTTTTGTAAGTTGGTTAAAAAGATAAATGAAATTTAAAAATAAAAGAATTGTGTAAAGTCGTAACGACAAAGCAACCGTTGATTTAATCAACTACACTCGTACAACCTTACCTCCGCTCAAGTGGAAAGGAGCGCTGTTAACCAGTTGCCTTTCAAGTCGCGTTCGTTCTCCGCGTCTACATTACACAGTAAGTTTTATTCATCGTAAATAATAAAAAAGTTTACATTTTGAATTTCAAAGACAATGGCATTTAAATAATTTTTGTGCTTAATTCTGAAAATAAAAAAAAATATTTCCCGCCATTTTTAATGCAATAACAATTTCAATAATCTGTGTAATTATATATTACTGCATTTATGTACATAATTGTTCTATTTTATTGTTTTTTTCGTGTAATTAAATATAAGAAAGATAATCTTTATTTTTAAATAATATTTCAATTACGTGTAAATCAAAAATAAAGTATTAATAGAAATCGATAGTGAAAAGTTACTTAATCAAAATGTATTTTTAAACAAACAAAATAACAGTAAATTGAAAAAATCATGGGCTTAGATTTTTTATCTAAAAGCTGAGTCAATATTGTCGATTTTTTAGTTTTTCGAAGCCATTGTTAAAGTGCTGTGTTTTTTTTTGTTTTAAGTTCACGAACCAGTTTGGTGAGTTTAATTATACTTGTGCATGTACTTAAATTTATACATACATATATCTATAAGTAATTTCATATATGTTTTGCTCTCCATTACAAGAACATGTTGTTGAGAATTTTAAATAAAACTGTCTTTTTAAATGTTTTCGAGGATTTATTTTGATTTTTGGTTCCCGACGTTTCGAATGCTTTATAGCAATCAATCACACTTTTGTGGGTAGGCTATCTGTAACAACTAAATTTCTTTGAGACATCTCTCCCGTGACCATAATTGCTGTAAAGCATTCGAAACCAAAAATCAAAATAAATCCGCAAAAACATCCGAAAAAATAGTTTTATTTAAAATGTCAAATATTCGCGTATATCCAAGAATGTATTATGTTGTTGAGAATATTGATATCTAAGTACGAGCTTTTTAAGAGACTTTGTTAGAAATTGTGTAACGGATCGTTTTTTGCGAACACAATATCGCTGTGGACTTCACATACGATATTCCTTATTCTTGGTGAGAAAAATTTTAACACACCTACGCAATATTTGCATAAAAACTAGATTTTTTTTAAGTTCAAGTTAATATATATATATATATATTTTTATTTTAATTCTAAAACAATATAGTTATACCAACTTAGGGTAACATTTGTAATTTATTTTTAACTAAATTTTTTTTAATACTTTCTTAGATATACGCGAATATTTGACATTTTAAATAAAACTATATTTTCGGTTTTTTTTTCGAAAAAAAAGGATATTTATTATTTAATCATTACGTTATTTTGCATAACTTTTTTTTATATTATTTTGTACCAACAAAAGTGCTCGCTAGGTGACTTTAAGCAATTGTTTTTTCTTCAACCTCTTCTCAAATTTATATTCTACTAGCATTGCCCGCGGCTCCGCCCGCGTTCAGATGACCATAAACCAAATTCTTAGGTTTTACATATTAGTATGCTCTTACATTGCAGTTTTTATATTTGTTCTCAAAAACGAGATATTTTCCCGCAGTAAAAAGTATCCTATATGTTGACCCGGATAACCAGCTATCACCATACCAAATTTCATCAAAATCTCTCCAGTGGTTTTTCTGATGCGGTAACAGACAGACTGACAGACAGAAATTCTAAAAACTATAGATTCGGCCTCTGTATCGATAATATTGTCTATTTTAATAAGATTTACCAAAAATATTTATTGTACAGATTCTTGGTCATCTAAACGCGGGCGGAGCCGCAGGCAATGTTAGTAAAACATAAAGCCAAATAATGTTTTAAAATAATATAGGTATGTTTTAACACAGAATCCAATATCTAATAGAATATTAATTACTTTGCTCAGTAAATGAGATAAACACATAGGTACCAGTTTTATCTTTTTATTTAGTCGTGTATACCTACATAAAAATTAATAAAATTAAAGTGTCTGTTTATAAATGTCAAAATGACATCTTTTTACTGAATGTATATAAAAGTATACACGGTACTTATAAGAAAAAAAATTTTTTGTTTCTGTCTGTTTGTTTCGGTTAATCTAAGAAAAGCTGGACCGATTTTGACGGGACTTTCACTGACACATAGATAGTTAAACCAAACATATAAAAAAGTGTGTATCTTTTATTGGGGATCGTAAATAATATAAAATTATTATATCAGTTACATTACATTCGCTATTATTTAATTGCTACATATATACCCGTTGTCCTTGCCTATAATACGACTTTGCTTGTTTACTCGCATTGATTAGTACTTGGTAGTTCATATTTATCGATATTTTTTTGGGTAGCAATTCAGACTAAATAATTATATAAACTAGCCCAACAAAAAGTCAAAGTCTCATCAAAATTGTACCGTGATTTTCTGATAATGCTTCTACAAGCGACTCACCTCGCTTCGCTTGGGTACGTTTTAGCGGTTAGTAAATATGGAATAGATAGTCGATCCCTTGCTCTGTAAAAAAGAAAACAAAAAAAAACCGTGATGAAAAATAATCTATGTGCTATTCCAGACTATAATCTATCTCTGTGCCAAATTGCATCCAGATTAGTTCAGCCGTTCTGACGTGATTAAGTAACAAACATCCATCCATCCAAAATTTCGCATTTATAATATTAATAGGATGGGGTTATGGGATTCTGCATTTTGCCATACAGATCGTTTACTTTCCAAGAACAAAGAGAAACTTGATATATAGGTATTAGTCGATAATACTAGTTCCCAATTTTTGAGAAGATAATATGAACTAGCGGCTCGCCCTCTCTTCGCTTGGGTTCGCCTCTAGAAAAACAAAAACAAATCTATCCCACGGGAACCGTACACTTTTCCGGGATAAAATGTAGCCTAAGTATTACACTGACATATGAGTTTAATTATTAAGCCTTTCTGTATAGTAAGTCTCAGTAACAACCGGGAGTTGGGAAGTTGGCGGTGCTTCACCCCCGTGCCTCGGAGAGCACGTAAAGCCGTCGGTCCTGCGCCTTAACTCTCACCGGTCGTGTCGAGTGGTCGTTCCACCGGAGTATGAGAGTGATAGGAATAGAGAGTGCACTTGTGTTTGTGCGTACACTTGAGCACTATAATATCTCCTGCGCAGTTGGCTAATCTCAATGAGATTGGCCGCCGTGGCCGGAATCGGCTAGGAGAGAACATCATCGACAACATTATTGTAAAGATTCATTAAAATCCAGTCTGTCTGTTACCGCATCACAGAAAAACCACTAGAGGGATTTTGATGAAATTTGGTATGGTGATATCCGGGTCAACATATAGGATACTTTTTACCACGAGAAAATATCTCACTTCTGAGAAAAAATAAAAAAACTGCAACGTACAAGTATACTAATATGTAAACCCTAAGAATTTGGTTTTTGATCATCTGAACGCGGACGGAGCCGCGGGCAATGCTAGTACATATATATGTATATACGTATATTAATAAGCATAAATAAACGCGAGTTGGAGCCACGGGTAAAAGCTTGTATACCTATTAATCCAGAGTTTTTTTTAATACACATTCCTATACATTTCTGACAACATGTTTATAATCATCTCGTTGAAAGGTTTTCCTCATATTAAGTGCTGGTTTTTACTGCTATTTACACAGTTAGGTTATCTTTATCATATCTCGAGGTCAATTAAATCAAAGGTAATAAAATTGTAACCGAGTCGAATCTGTACATTAAATATTGTTTGGAAAATCTTATTGAAATAGTCATTATTATCGATACAGAGGCCGAATCTATAGTTTTTATAATTTTTGTTTGTCCGCCTGTCCGTCTGTCATTTTGTCTGTCTGAGAACGCATCACGAGAAAACCAGTGGATAGATTTTGATGAAATTTGGTATGATGATAGCTAGTTATCCGGGTATAGGATACTTATTACTGCGGATTGCGGAAACATATCTCATCTCTGAGAAATCTATACAAAACATTAAAACTAGGGACGAACCTGAGCGGAGCGAGGGTGAGTCGTTAGTATATTATATTTAATATTTTGATTTTAACATAGTTCATGATAACTCTCTAACAGCATTAATTTTATAAATGCAAATCTTAATATGTGAGTGTGTGTATTTGTTTGTTACTCTTTTACGCGGTATAAAAACAATAATCTATACATATAATAAAATTGTAATAAAGCCGAATCTGTACATTAAATACTTTTTGGTAGATCTTATTGAAATAGACTTTATTATCGATACAGAGGACGAATCTATACTTTTTAGAATTTTTGTCTGTCTGTCTGTCTGTCTGTCCGTCTGTCTGTTACCGCATCACTTAAAAACCACTGGAGGGATTTTGATGACATTTGGTATGGTGATAGCTGGTTATCCGGGTTACCATATAGGATACTTTTTACTGCGGGAAAATATCTCATCTCGGAGAAATGTAGGTATACTAAAAGTCAAAACGTAAGTATGGACGAACCCGAGCGTAGCGAGGGTGAGTCGCTAGTCTACATATGTACAGTCGTTCAAAAACCGTTAAATATTCATATTTTAACTATTTTCATTTAAAAACTTCAAATCTACGACCTTCTTACAGTTAATATTATAAGTTAGACACACCGCCGTGTCGTCGGTGGTCATTTCAAAATATCTTTGTTTTTTTGTTGCGTAAATTACAGATTACGCAAGATTATCGCAGCACTTTCATTTATCTTTAGAAAGGGTTGATTACTTCTCGTCTCTCGATCATTACTTGCCGTACTAGTTTACGTCTGTGCTTTTGTCTGCCCATGTATTTAGTTAACAAGTTTATTAATAGTTTGCTTGTTACTGTACCAGAAGCCCTGAATTCGATTTCCCGCTCCAGCCAAACTTATTGGGGGTAACTTAATAACTTATTGTACAGACAGACAGACAGACAATTCTAAAACTATAGATTCGGCCTCTGTATCGATAATAATGACTATATCAATATGATTTATCAAAAAATATTTAAAGTACAGATTGGACTCAGTTAGAATTTTATTATATGTATAGATTATTACCCTCCTTCTTGCGCAGTCGGGTAATAATATCAAACCACAAAGGACGTTCATT